CTATCCAACAACAGTTCCCACCAGAATTTGTGCACACAATTCTCTTCACTACAGCTTACAAGATGCATTATGAAAAGCAATAGTTGCCACCTGTATCAGAGACAGCGAAAAAAAAACAAAAACAACTCCAAAACCCACATATGTCATGCATCAAAATTCACTGTACGACAAGAGAAGCAAATCTCTTAATCCATGTAATCTGCTTGTTAGCTCAAGGCAAAACATGCAATCTTTAAGATTCGGATAAAATAAGTTTGGCAGTTCTACCCAATCAAATGAAACACAGGACTGCTTTGGAATACATTTTTTACTAGATACTCCACATTTCTGACCATGTGTAAAAGTTTTCTTCCTTTCAGACTATGTTCATTTTCTGCAAATAAAACAAGGCTTTATACAATAAACAAAATGCCAATGCCTTAGCTAATACAATCATTTCAAATGTTTAAGACACTACTAAAATTAAACATTTCCTGGTTTTGCGCTAAAAGCAACATTTTCAGATGTTCCCCTAAACCTAATGGCAAAATTAAGGCACTTTTTAATCTCATCATTACTGTCCCAATATTACACCATTAACAGAGACCTTGGAAATATAAGGAACGGACAACAAACTCCTTAAGCTTCCAAAACCCACATACGTGAATTTGCTTAGCTAACAAAGAAATCTTTGGTTAGCAGCCTGACATCTAGCCAGCACAAAGAGTGCTGGCACTGCTGCAGAAATGCTCCTTATCATTCTCCTTTCCAGTTGTCCAGCTGTGGTTTGCCCTTCGCTAGGCTCCATTTGCACACAGGCCCTTTTCCACGCTGTCCTCCTGAAACAATACAAGCCTCGCTCATTCATGTTCTCTCCGATCATAACTAAGACCCCAGAAATTCATTTCTGCTGTATTGAATCAAACGGGATCGAGCTCAGCAGTACATGGGGGTTTGTCTTCCTGCCTTCTATCTACTGGAGTTGCAGGCTCTTTTGTGTGGAGACTTTTCTCAGTAAACAGACTTAAAATCTAAAAATTAGTAGCAGAAAGCTTCTAGAAAAGTGACAGAGCACTTGTTGGGCCTTGCAACAGTTAACTCTTAAAAGTACAATTTGTACCTTGGGGACAGAAAACAACCATATGGCAATAAAATTAATCTAAAAAAAATCTAATGCAACAATAAAACTTTGAAACACCCAAACAACTGGTTTGCATGAGTCACAGCCCTTCTCGGTCAGGAAGAAAAGCTCAACAAAGCAAATTCCACCCCCCCAAAAACAATTCTTCCGGATCCCAACCCTAGGATCAGCAAGCACCAACCCAAATGCAATAAAGTACATCAATAAAAATAAAAGATAACTATACTGTTACAGTACAGTTAGTCAGACCTATGTTTCTTGACTAGCAAGCCAGCAAAGTCTGGCTGCCTCTGCACTCAAGACAGAGACAAGCTGCATTCTGAAACTTAGCCCAGGACGCTTGTGCCGAGAGTAAGAGAGGGGCTGGACGGACCTGAGCTACCTCCCGAGTCCAGGGTAGCTTGGCAGAAATACTGAATCTGTTGATTAGCTTCCCCCTGTTGAAATCCCCAACTTTTGTGGCTATGAATCTGATAGCCAGTATTTATTTACAGATACGTTTCTCCCAGAAAAAGCTTTTTCCTTGCATTACTTCCTGCTGTCTCCTGCTGGACAGTGCCTCTGAACAACTGTGCATTGGCAAAATACATCTATATTTAAGCTGCTTTGTAGCTTCCCGATTCATTTTAAGACTGTGCAGACAATAGAAAGCTGTTTAAATAAGAGCATTGAGCTACCTATCACATCGTCAAAAATATTTCTCCAAGGAATGTATCCAAATACAGGGACTGTGCTTTGATGATGATTGGCAACCTTAATTACAAAAATGACCCAAGTACAGAGACCTAAATATAATCCTACTGTAGAAAACTGCCTGCCTAACTCGTAAGTGGACCTCAAAGAACTCACTGCTGTTAGGCAGTCCTAGGCAGTGGCTCATGATGGAACCTATGTGGGAGGATGCACAGATGGTATTTTATTCAGTGCCACTTGTTTTAAGCACTTAAAATACAAAATTTTATAATGCCACTAAATTATACTTTCTCCTGGAGAAATTAACTAGGTGAATGGAGTCCAACCCTTTTGAAAAGGTCAAATCACTTGAATATACAGCATGAGGCCAGGGATACAAAAGTCACCGTTTTAGAAATTTAACACTGTCATAAAGCTGCTCTTTACCAGGAAAACACTGATGACTGAAATACTAAGAAAAGACTGCACAGATATACCCTCATACACACAAAAGAATGTTACCATCATCAAAAGAATTGGTCTGAGTGGCAAAAATAGCTTTCAAAAATTGAAGACATTCTAGAAGATTCTCTCAGTTGGAAGCCATCTCAAAAAGCTGATTAAAAATGAACACTTAGGACTGAAAATTGCCATATAATCAATTGAATTTAATTCCAGATCCTCCCACATACTTCCTAAATGTAGTATATTCCGATAGAATGGCTCAATTCCACAGGTTCAATATTCAATTTAAAACTTTCAATCTGATGGAGCAATGAGTCATTTCCAAAAGGAAACATCTATTATAACAATTCAATGGATAAGATGTATTTAAAATGCAGCACTCACAGAAAGCCGCCAAACAAATTTTTCAGCCAATATTAATTCATCAAGAGAACAATTTTACCTCGGTGGAGAAGAAAGGGATGTTCGAGTGCCACGTAAAAAGATTTTTCCCAATCCGCTTCTCTGCTACGCAGCAAACAGTAAAAACTTACTGCTCTTAGTTCCAAGGAGGACCAAGCCTTAGAGCAACAACTCTGATAGAAAGTTATCTCAATTTCTCTATTCTACTTAATTCAGTCTCCTTGTTTTTCATCTTTGATCTCTCATTCCTTTATCTAACAACACCAAAATCCTTCCATTCCTCCTTTCCATCTGTCAGTCTTTAGCTCAGTTTCATAACTCTCCCTATCTCATTTTTATTTGTCTCTTTTTATGATCATGACAGTAATTAATGTCATGGTAAACTGGGGTAAAAAAATTCAGAAGAACACCATTCTGGTGCTGCTGTTCTAAAGGAGAAGGTTAACACTTGTGTGACTTTAGTCAGTCAAAACTGACTGACTCTGGATGCAAAACTACTTTTCACTTTTTACCTCTATCCCGTTGGTGATAGCTAAAACATACAACATATTCTAAGTCCTACAGAAGTCTAGAAGCAATGAAACCATTTCCCCCCCACCCCAGTTGATGCCCTATGACATACAATCATTAAGTTAAACTTTGAATCGCTCATAGGTAACCTGGACTGGAAACAGCATAAACATTTTGACCCAACTGTAAAACATTAGAAAATCCTGGCTATCAACACCAATGTTCGCTAAACAATCCTAGCACCCTCTCTTAATACTCAAGCAGAAAAAGCAAGATATAAATAGCTACATTGAAAACAGCAGCTGTTGACAACCACTTGCAATTGGTAGTGCAGTAAATGCCCACAAATGCTTTCATTAAATGCAGTGTATTTCAGAAACACTTCTGTACTCTTCTCCAACTCCATACATTTCAGTGGATTGTTTCTTACCAGCAGAGGCTGTGAGTAGAGTTCAAGCTGTGCTCTGTAAATTATGTCCTCCAGCACCTCCTGGCCAAGATCCCACTGACCATTATATCTAGAAAGAAAAGTATTTCTCTTTCAGTATTTTATACACACAAAATCATCCTTTTGTTCTGCCTAAATCCAAGCCTTCACTTTTGTGTTGGTGTGTGGAATATTTATTTGGGCATTTATGCCCAAACCTCTCTATTTCTTTCAAAAACAGTGACAGATCATCTTTGTATTAATTTTGTAGGCCTAACAAAAATGCTCCCTCTCATCTCTGAGGAAGATAAAGCTGATGCCAAGATCAAAATGTACATAGTAGGGAAAAAAACAAAAAAACAAAAAAAAAAAGAGGGGGAGAGAGAGAGATGTAAAGGTTAACACTCCTTGCAGACCTAAATTTCTATTAGAAATAGATTTAGGCTAACCCAGTAGCTACTGGCATTCAATAGGACACTTCGTCATGAATTCTGGCATCCAAGCTCACTGTGTTTGTAAACAAAAGGTATCTCACAGTAATAGCAACTTTGGAAAAGATGAAGCCATGAGCCTCCCACTTCAAGCACCTGCTGCTGATCGTTCATTCCCCACTTACACGCTGACAGAGATATTACCAGATTATCAGATAGAGGAACAGGCAAGTAAGGACTCTTGTGTTGTACACAAGTTTCACTAGAGGCTTTCAATCATAAACCAGGAAACACTGATATTTTAATTCATTAAACCCAGCCGTGATCTACCAAAAATAACTACCTACTTACATAGCATAATAGACACCTGTCAGCAGCTGCACCATAAAGTCAGGGTCTAACACCACTCTTCCACAGTGTTCCTTCCAGTGTTTCTCATGCTGCCGTGGAAAGCCACTTACACACAGCCTTGGGAAAAAAAGAAAAAATTGTAGCAAAGCATTAGCCCCCAAAACAATTTCTTTTCATTGTAGATTTTGTTCCGTTTTCAAAATTAACTGTCAAAACGCAATTACTCAACATAGAACATTTCCTATGCTGCTCTTCCAACTGTTAAGGTGGTTTCAAAACAGGGAAATGTGGTCAACAATTCCATGAGTGCTTCACCTATACAGCCATTACCAACATCTGTTTTCCTCCAGTCATAACCAGCATCTGCAGAATGAAGGTGGCAAGATGTTCTCTGCTGCTAGACGGCAAATCTGAGACTTGCCCACAAAAATCTGTAACCCAAGCCAATTTTCCTTAAAGGAAACATTTAAGTCATATAGAACAAAGCCCTTATCTCCCATATCATACAGTCAAATTTTACTAAACTTGAGTAATACAGACACTGATCCTGAAAACTACTTTTCGGTGTCTCTACAAACTTTTCTGGCCTTTGAAAAAGACTTGACTTCTTATATACTGCAGTGCACTGAGGCCACTGCAAGTAACACGGGAGAAAAAAAAGAAAAAAAAAAGAGAAAAAAATACACACACACACCCCTAAGGCATTTACAAAGGCCAGTCAAACATCTTCCACTGAAAGAACACTGAACATTTCAGCTTACAGGTGCACTTGCATCCAAGCAAGTGGATGGATATATTTGTTCAGATATATTTATTCAGAATTCACAAGAACTTTGACATTTCATTTTGTTAAATTATTTTGTAAAGTTTGTATTTTAACACAATATTTTTAACAATGTGCAGCACAACATGGAAGGAACATCCTACAAACTAGTTATTGATCAACTTGTTCTTTGGTTCAAGACATCTAATAGCAGGGGCTCTCACCTAAACACACTATGAAAAATATAATATCTGCTAGGAAACCGAAAGAAAATGATGCACAGTGACATGAACCTTCACTGTTCACCTTCTTAAGGTATTTTAAGTTCAATTTTACATATTCTATATTGAAGCACTTTGTAGCGAGCATTAGGATGCTGATAAAAGACAGCAAGTTATAGAACAAGAGCTGCATAAAGGTACACAGAGTCTGAAAACAACAAGAAGATAAATGCTGACAATGAAATTCATCAGATAACACTGTTTTCCCCAAGTACTGTTCTGTTTCTGATGGTGAGCTGCTATTCAAAGTTATATAGCTCCAGTTTCAGAATGGACTGCAGAGCCTGCTGAGTCAAATTACCTGGAACATCCCCACCCGCCACTTTTTCAACTAAATACGCGCTGAGAAAGAACACTCATGGTTAAAACATGAGAAACAGGAGAACATTTAGGGCAGACAGAAATCCTTCCTCCCTGCTGTCTCCAAATTACCTTCTTCACCAGACAATCCTAAAGCCAGATGGATAAAGATCAAGAAAGTCCAAGGACTCCTGATAATTACTAAGCACAACTGCCAAGACTGTCCACAGGAAGAAATGGTTTCTTCATCAAGAGAGGCACACTACCCTCCTGAAATAATAATAATAATATTTCCATCTAAAGCGGAATTATATCCCTTTAGATTTCAGCCACCAAAAAGGAGGAAAAAGAAAAGTTTAAAAGTGCACAGGCAACATCACCCATATAATCTGCTATATTGGTTAATTTTCACTCCATTAAGGGCTGTTACAGAAAAATAATGTTTGGGTACCTGCAAAGCATGTATTCATCATCCAAGAGCTTCTTAAGAGTTTCTCAAGAAAAGAAACTGGTGCTTAAAGGACAATTTAAAGTTTGACATTAAATGTCTTATTTAAGGCACTCTTGGCTACTAGGTTAGTAATTTCTAACTTAGAATTTGGTAGGAAAAAGTTAGTAGATTTACAAATTGAAATTAGGGTTGAAAAGAATGTCCATTACCTGTGTTTTAGATCAAAAGAACTCCCACTATAAATGTTTGTTATCTGGATTACACACAATTACAGAATCAATAGGTAAAAAGACCAAAAAAAAAAAAAAGATTTAAAATAAAGATCATTATAAGGTTATATTAAATGCATGCTCAAATGAGGAACAGTAGATTAATTGTTTTAGCTAAATGAATACAGTCCTGTAGAATCTGTATTTCTAAGACTACAAGGGCTGAGGTCCAGAATATCACACAAGCATTTCATCTACGCCATCCAAAAAGCAAGCCAGGCTAATAATTGGAAGCGTAGGAAACTGATGGCATTCTTGACAAGACTTTAAAGCTGACCATACTGGAAAAAATAAGCAAAACATGTAAGACCAGTAAATGCAAATAAGCCAGAGCAGCTTCAATAGACTAATTTTCCCTAAAACTCATTGTTTCAGATAATGAAGTGTTACATAACTAGAACTAAAGCAAATGCAGTAGGAAAATAGTCCATGTGTTTTTCTGCATCCAAGCACATCATTGGGCTTCCAATTAAGTTGCAGGGTTGACCGAAAGTTATATCTTTCAAGCTATCAAACACAGCAAGTAAATCCATTTTGTTTTGCAGGATGAATACTTAGAAACTAGATGTGCTCTGCAGGGCTATTTCGAAGACAAGTGTCTCACCTGGAACCCATCCTACAGAGCGATTGGTAAGAAGAGGCAGGCATATAGACAATAGCAGAATTGTAGCACAGCATGAGAAAGCTCAGCACCTCAAACCTGAAAAGAGACAAAAGTAAAACGTTGCATGGCTTATATTCTTAATATTCCCCTAGAATTTTAAACAAAATTCCATAACCCAGACCCAAAAAATAACCCCCAAGGAAAAGTGTCAGATGTAAACACACAAATCGGACATCTTTGATCAAACTAACTTGAAATAGGCTGCCACATATTCGTTATTAAACATCTCAAATAAATGATTACTACTGAGAATCAGTAGCATATGAAGGCATTATAGCATTATACTTTGGCATAATACTTGAACATAGATTGTAATGGAGCTGAGTGGATAGACACCAGCAAGCCTTGAAATCTCTCACACTTATTTCTGTCTATCCACTCAGCTCCATTACAGTTTCAGCTTCATAGGCAAAACTGAGATTTGTTACACTTTCCAGACAAATCGAATTGACACGCATAAACCCAAAGATAGCCCTGACAACCATAAAGATGACAGAGAAGTTACTTTATCTAAATTAACAAGTGGGAGAAGAACACACCAAGTTGGAAGCAATAACAAAAATATTGTATCACAAAGTTATTGAGTTGCTTTGCTAGCTTTATTTCTATGCACTTAATGTTCAGAAAGGATTAATGCTTCACGATTTGTTATGAAGCATCTAAAATATTTCATGCATCACATCTGCCTAGTGAAACATCCAAAATGTTAGAACACATCCACTCACCGGTTCTGTGCTGTGAAGGTTTCTCTTTGAGGATGAAGATCACTATAAACTACCCTGATAAGATCATGCTGACACAGAGCTCCCTCAGTCAAAGCCATAGATCCAATTGTAGAGGGCTAGAAGTAGATGGGAGAAAAAAAAAATTAAAAAATGAAACTGTAAGTAAAAGACCAGAAGCATAAATACTTCTAACACATCAAATGAAAAAAAAAAATGTGCTTGCATAGTAATCTATAAAACTGAGAATAATTCCAGAATACAGTAAAATTAAAACAACCAAAATTCATTACTACAAAGAGCTTCTAGATTCACCGGCAATAGAGCAGATGAAAGTTCAAACTGTATTAACTAGGAGCTGGAAGAAGAAATAGGCTCTCTCTCCTATCATTCAAAAGACAAAAGAAAAACAAAACAATAACAATTAAAAAATAGTTGCAATTACATCAAACAAGCCTCCAATCTCAACCTGTAGTGTAAGCAAGTATTTTTCAATGTTTACTTGGCTGTTCTTCTATTACTGCTATTGAATTAATTACACTAATTGCACTAAAGTTTCAGTGTCAGTATCTTGCAATGAGATGACTTGGAAATGTACTCTTGCACCAAATGCATCCCGTTTTCATTCCGCTAATAGGTCCATTTCTACCTTACCACAGCAGCACTCTTACCTCATGATATATTGAGGGTTTAGATAATGAAGGGATGGTGAAAGACAAAACTTTGTTGTTTCCATCTTTGTCAGCAATTTCCTGTAGTTTAAAACAAAACAAAACAAAAACAAAGACAAAAACACACCGCAGAAGTAATGAGATGGGATTTGGGATCTTCTACAGCCTTAAAGGACGCTTGACAGCAGTAAGAAATCTAATATCTTGACCTGGTAAGACAGTTCTCACCCAAAGGGCTTCATGTGTACGCAGAGTATTGCCAAATTTATACACACAAGATTTATATATACAGAAGTTTATATAAACACGAGGAAAGACCTGTAGTATGGACACAAAACAGCATTGACTGTCTTGATCAGCGTGCCTTCTAGGGGAAAAAAAAAAAAAAAGGGAATTAAAAGCTTTTCTAGCCTCCCTTTAATCTATAGATTTGATAGAATTGCATAGTGGTGCAAGGCAAAACTTTAAGGCCATGAGATAAAGACACGTGAGGGCTGATGAGTCACTTGCTGTACTTCATAATGAATCTACCACAGAGAAAGGTGAAATCAAGGGGACTGGTGATGTTTCTGCAGGCGTGATATCAGTAAGATATAACACTGAAAGCCTTTTGAAAAAACACTCTAACCGATCAGATTTTATAGTTGCTAGGCTACGATATAAGCAAAACAGCAGTTTTTAAAGCGAATATAATTTAGTATGGGCAATTATATAGAACTACATCAAAAGGGGTCTAAAATCCTCACATTGTACTGTAAATTTCAACGCAATGAGCTCCAGTTATTCCAATTTATGTAAAAATTTAGTCCAAGGCAGCACAGTACTTGCAGTTGGCTTTAAGGATCACAATGGGAAGAGTTTTCTTGGAGTTTAGTAGACTGCAAGAGATTTATTCTGGACTTTCTAAATAAGAAAGACGTACAGAAAAATGTCAACAACTGGGTAATACAATTTAAAAGGATAATGTTTTAGAACCCTTTTAAGGGGAAGATTCTCACTAGAGAATGCCTTTATTGGCAGTACTGTTGATTTAATAAACAGCCTCATAATGATGGAATATAAAAAATTACCTTTGCATTTAACTGCCAAATCTAGTCACCTTCGATTAATTTTATTTATTCTTAAAGTTAGTCCCACTCAAAACAAGTATGAAGCCTGAAGTGCAAGTGCTAGCCGATCTCACTTACCAAGTTATAAATGCCAAGCAGCAATGCTTCAATGCAACCGTTACTCTGCCTATCCCTGCTGGCAGTCAGGCGCAGGTAAACCCAGATCAACTCCGGCAAGAACTGCAAGGTGAATCTCTTGAGCCGAACTTCAGAACTACGATAAAGTTCAAAGAGCTGGTGACAAACAGGCTCCAGAAGCTGTGGAAAAAAAAAAAAGAAAAAAGGCTAATGAATTACTATTAGGATTCCTTCAAAGGACTGAACACAACCAATGCAGAAGCTACACCATAGAGCCACTGCAGCAGCCAGTAAAGATGAAATTCCTGATGGCATTCAAGTGAATGAACCAAAATGATACCCATGTTCCTTCTAGGAAGTCTGTAAGGACAGATTTCAGGGGGAATTGTTATGCAGTAGGGGGAAGTGTGGCATTACTACAGTCAGAATGTTATTCTTGAGGTCTGCAACAGACAAATGGCTTCAACTGTGTGCACCAGAAAATTGTAATGGTGTAGCTGCAAGGTTCAATAAAGTACAAAGGTTAAAGATTAGTAGCAGCTACTAATTAAAAGTCAGCAGATAGAGGTATGAATTTATTTCTTAGCTAGTTTTTTAGACACAAGCCTAACAAATATGCATTTGTTTAATACAATGCTAACTGACTTTTCATTTCTGAGATACCTTTCAGGTTTCACTGCAAGAATCTAAAAGGCCTTTATCAAACAAACAAAAATTAATATCAGAAAATCCTGTCATTAAGAGTCTCCAAGTCCAAGCTGTCCAAATCACAAAACTGATACAGAACCAAAAATAACAAAAAATGTGTGTCTCCTTCTTCTTATGACTAATGAAGTCCTTCATACCAGAGTTCAAAATCACTGGAAATTAATATTCAGAATGGAATTTTTGTGAGGTCGTTGACCAATAGCTAGCTACAAACACATTTTTTCCCCCCAGGTTGTGAGAAAGGGGATGTTTTGACTTAAGGAAAGTAACCATAGGGCTCAATCTCCAATCCATGCAACCTAAGTAGTCATACAGAAAAGTTACACATAATCTGAAAAATGAGGCAGGAATCTCAAATTAATCTTCCTTCTAACTAGTCATGACTTCTACTCCTTTCATATACACAAATGAAAATATTAAACATTAAAATATACGTATCATTCTTAGAGAAATAGAAGCCCTACAGTTTACTGATACTACAGTAAATAAAAAAATTAAATAAAATTAAATAAAAAAAATAAAAAGCCCTACAGTTCACTGACAATAGCAATTGTACTCATGGGACAAAAAAGGCTTAATTAGGCAATACCTGGTACAGGGCTGAAGCCTAGAGAAGGTGTATATGATACCTCCTCCAGCATGCACTCTTATTTCCAGGACTTGCAGCTTATGACTTTTCAAAGCATTAGCTGCTTGTTTGAAGATAGTAATGCATTCTTCTTCCATTGATTTGTCTAATCATGAAATTCTCAGTATGCCAAATGCCCTGCAGAATTCACTGCCAGTGTTCAGCTATGCTGTATGAGCAAGTACTTCTGTGGTTTGCTGTGACCCATAATCTTGAAAACTTTGAGCAAATCCCTTGCTGTCAGCAGAGAAAGAGCGGTTTCTACAAGTGCTTAGCTTGAATGTCTGATAAGCATGCAAGTCAATACAACTGTTGACTGTACAACTTTACACACATGTGCTGAGACTAGGATATTTTACTGCAGTGCATCACAGACACTAAATGTAAGTTGGTCAGAATTTCTACAGAGATATCTGGCTTAAGATAGCATCCACTTTAAAGTGGTCAAGGAAATGTGAAAATATTTATTACTGTAATTTCTAACCAGAAATTTCTAACAGGATCCTGGTCAGTGAAGCATGCCATTTTTAAGCTGCTAATTACGTAAGCAGTAATATCACATCTATAAAATTAAACTTTGCTGTCAGTCAAATCTCTTCTTATACAAGGCTCCAGTATAAGTACCTTGTGTAACAAGGCTTCTGCTTGACAGCTTAGTTACGCTAGGCTAAAAGGATGTTTTTACAACAGAAGCAAAGAAAAACTCGCAAGAGAGGGAGGGAGGAAAGCTGGCACTCAGAACACTCATAGAATGGGAGGAGACCAGAAGTTTGGAACACACGGGCCTTTACAAGTAAAATGCTCAAAAATTATTTTTGATAATGAAGCTAGAAGCCAGTAAAGCTTCTCTTGGCAGAAAAAGCCCCAGCATTGTTGTATACAAAATAAAACAAGACACATTCAACTTCATAACTACACCAGCATTTCACAGATATAGCATTTTGTATGTTCAGAAGATGCACATATGAAGTAACAAACCCTTTTGTAATTAATATTTATTTTGTGCAAACTCCCATCTAAAAACAACATTAATTATCAAAAGCATCTGTTACAGTAAGTGTCCAAATCCTCAGAGACAGAACCATATCCTCGGGTCATGAAAAGCCAAGCACATTTCAGACGTTCATATAATAAAAGGTGGTTAATATATAAGACAACCAAATGGATTTGCAGGTTTTCTTTAAAACAGAAAATACTGAACAACAGGCTAATGTACAGAGGAGGAAAAAAATCTAGACATCTCTAGGGAATAACAAATACAAGGACACCTGCAAGTAAAGAACAGGTACAAGAAGAGCTAAGCAAATATTAACAGAAACCTAAAAGATACAGCAGCATTATTATAAACATTACTTCTACTACGTTAGAGATGTCAGGAGCCCAAGTTTTTTTCACTTGAAAACTGTGTAGGTCTAATTTAAGTCCTATTAAAGATAGTAAAAAAGAACCATATATTTTATCTGAAGAGATGATCAGACCCAACAGAGCAGTTATTGTGTTTATTCTACTTTCTTTCAAATGGAAGTTATGTAAAATTAGTCTTAGAAGAAATAGCACACTCCCCAGAAAGACACAGTAATACCTAGCCCCTGGTACTGCCTGCAAGTGCTCCCTCCTTTCTATCAGTTGTTCTTAGTTTCATAAATAAGTTTAACAAGTGCTAATTACTTAGTTTAAAATCTGAAAGTTGTTTGCAGTAACTACTATAGTGCTTTGGTGTGTTCAGAGCTGTTTAACTCCATAAGAAAGAGCCACAAAGACACACAAAAAAAACTTCTGTAGACATGGATACCACATTTTTTCCTGTCACACTATAGCATTATTTTCTTCTACCTAGAAAATTCATTATCTGGAAACACAAAACTCAACATTGTAATGAAGATCAAACGTCTCCTGCATCCCAGATATTTGGCTTTTCAGAGGACCAGTCTATTTGCTTCAATTCTCTGTAAATATTCAGAGGACACTGGATAAACAGAGGACATGAAGTTTGTGTACACAAATGAGCACACACTTTAATACCAAAGAACCTTCGTTTCAGCAGCAAACTAAGCAGCACAGCAATCAGTCGAAACATACATGTAACAAATCAACTATAACCATATCTTCTCAGACAAATTAATAAAAAGCTCTTTAACGCAATGCTTTAACATATATCTTAATTATATATACAACATATACAACAAATAAAAATGAAGTTTTCACCATCTTAGATGCAATAAATGACAGAGGTAGAATTTTCAAAGTTCATTTTTATACCTCACAGACATGCAGACTAGTCATGATTCAAGGAAGCCAGTTAACAGGTTTAAACCTTGTCATATTTTGCAAGGTTTGTCAAATCTGAAGACCTACACCATGGCTTGAAGCTAAATATAACCTACTATAAAATGCATAGCAATATTGGAAACTCTCATCTATTTAAAGTATTTAATCGTAGCAGAAAATATGAGTTCATTTTCAGCTTAAGTATAACGCAATGGACAAAACTAGTTACTATTTGAGGATGGTTGGGTCTGAGAAGTGCGTCGGTCGGGCATTGCGAAGAGGATCTCATTTTGTTTCAGGACTGAGCTTTACAACATAAATCTAAATAGTTGCACACTCAGTATTTAAATTTTATTACTGCATTAATGGTGATTAAAAGTCCACAGAGCAGTTATGTCTACAACTATTAACCAACTCCAAAACAATTGTGAAACTACCAAAAAAGCCTCAGCACTTTACAAGTGTTTTACTTCAAAAGTAACAATATTATGCAGAGATTAATACATTAATTGAATAAATTGCTTATAAGTCAGGTCACTCTCTTTATCTAACTTTCTGGTCTAGTCATTATCGTCACTATGTTCTCGTCATCACCTTCACTCTACAACGCAACTCAGGGAATTTCCAAGAAGTAGCCAATAAATGTATTCTAACTGGAAAGCACATCTGCTCTCTTCTTATAGGTGCACTGAAATTGATAGATAACTGCCAAAAATTGAAGCATCTCAGTTGTTTGTTTTTTAAATATGCTACTTCAATCTAAACTCAACAATCTTTATCTTATCAAGACAGAAGGATGCACACTAAAAATTCACTTCCCACTAAACAGCTGCCCCTTTCAGAAAATATAAAAAAAACAGGGCAACTTTATGATTAGACTGTAATAAAAAATTACTTGCCCATCCTGTTTAAGAATCTAGCAAACACATTTTTATAATATTCTACTATATAAACTTTATCTTCATAAGCAATCAGTTACCCTTGTAACAAATAATGCCATATAAGGCATGCAAAAAAACCCCAAAACATAAGAGTCAAACATTACCTTAGAATTGTCCAAAGCAAAGATGAATTTACTGTTATAGTATGGTTATAGTCCTCATACATTAAATAAATTAGGGGGAAATGCAATAAAGAAATACATGTTGCCTTAAAAAGCAAATCCTGAGGTAAGTCTTTGAGTTTGGTACTGCATATCTTATACCTGAGAACAGAATCAGACCTGAGCAGTTCCAAAGGGTCAAGGCTGACAAGGGTCAGTTTGCAGTAACACAAGATGACAGCCAGACTCTTAGGAAAACAAGCAGTTTGCAAATCTGTCTCTCTGCATAATATTCTTATTCTCTCTTGCAAAGCAATTTTAAAAATATATATAGAAGCATATAAACACACAAAAACATACATGTGCACATGCCAAAAGACAGACAACAAAAGCAATGGTGGCTTCTGTGCTGTAACAACGACTTCTGCACAGAGAAAAAGGTCATGATGCAAGCTGCTAGTTGCAAAACTGAAATGAAGTTCACTCCCGTGTGAAGTATTTTGTTGTCAGAAAGTTATGCAATCTCCTTCAAGCTCTACAAAGCATTCAATTCAAAAGCAGCTGAGTTATATCTACGAAAATATAAAGCTTCCTTGCTGCGCATGCTTCTAATTTATAAATATACAAGAGATCACAGAAGATAAAATGTTTCAAAGTAACAGATTTATCCAAAGCAGTTTACACAGCAGAGTGTTGTCTGGGTAATTTATCCAGAAGTTACATTTCACACACTTTTCCAAAATTCTCATGGCAGAAGCCAGGGTAATGGAAAGCTGAGTTTTACATTATTTGCAACATGAATTATGTATGGGAGGTAAGCTGGATTTTCGTTGTATATGTTTATATTTTGGAGCCCTGGTTCTGCTTTTGCTTACAACATTGTAAGCCACACAATGCTGGTATGAGTAAAGAGAACGTGTGGTTAAGCAAAAACAATATGTGGTTATTTTAACTGCTTATAGGGTTTGATAAAAATGATTTCATTTCCCACTGTAATAAGACAGTAGTGAATAGCACATTGGTCTTACTGAGCTTAACCCAAGGGAATACTTCACCTCTATTGTGACTGAAAGCTGTTTTCTTGGGGGAGAAAAAACAGGTAGAGAAATACTCGAGAGCAACTTAGAAGATGCTTCCATTATCACTTCTAAATTATTCTAGTTTTAAATGTGAAGTTGTAAGATAAAGATATTCACAAAAATTCTTTACAAGGATCCTACCTCATTATTTGGGTCTTGAATCACTTTATAAAGAGCTGGTACCAGCGTTTTTTTTCGGTGCAATGTAGCTGCATAACTGGAAATTTGTGTTTCAGGTAACGCCTAAAGAAAGAAAGAAAAAAAGTTATTAGAAGTATTAAAGATCCCCGGGAAAGCACATCCCTACATGAAAAACAATCTTGAAGTAAGTTTTCAGAATTCATGCAGTACCAATGCTTCTGTTGGAATAGCATTTGAGGGCCTACAGCAACTATTAGGGCTAAATCCAAAAGCACTTTCAGATTTGCCTTTTTTAAAAAAGGTCATTTGCTCCATATCTTGCAGTGAGGATTCCTGTCTTTATTTGACATTCTTTACCAGGCACTTTTCAAGGTTAATTGATCAACTTACATTTTATTTAGGAGATGTAGGTAATCTAAAATGAGTATGCACAGTCTTAAATGCCCTCAGGCATACATGTCTTTACATCATTGACGGCTCTACACATTTTTATTAACAGTCAGTAATTTAATTTTGTATATTGTCAACATGTGAGGAATAACTAATTCTTAACTAAAATAACAGATTAACTTCATTTCCATCATGAAATCCAGTTTTCCTCTTCACACATTATTCTGCACTTCATTCAACATAATTATGAACACTAAAACTCAAAAAGGTTTTCAGGTACTTCATGCTAAATAAAAACTGTATATTATAGAGAAAAGCTTAATTGGCCAACTCCAAACATCTCTACTATTTTTTAAATATAAATGTTGATGAATGCAAATTTTATCTAGAATTATCCACCTGCCAGTTACATTCTATCAACTTGTTTTACACTACAAGATATGCTTCAAGGTTACATTTGTGTAGCAGGCAGTACTAGAGATATGCACTGTATTTTATGTATTAATCAACTCCTCTAATCCATAAAGCCTGCAAAAGTCTGTGGAAAAAAAAAAAGTGAATGACAGTTATATTGTGGCTTTATGACACATAATATTTTATCTCCAACAATTAGCATTTTAATGCAACTATTTGATATTTCAAATGATTCTTCTCGGCTCACCTTGAATTCTGACAGCCATTCTTCCACCACACCTCGTTCCGATCCCAGCATTTTCTTACTTCTTTTCCTTCTCTCTTACCTTTAGAGGACAGAGAACAAGAAGAAAAAAAAAAAAGAAAAAAAAAGTTCTAGGAGCAAAACTTAAGTTTTGTAAAACCTACACCAACAAAAAGCTCTTAACAAACTTCCAATATATGTATGCAAACAATAGCAAAATCTGTATTTCTGACAAACAATCCCACTTTCTAGCCTTCTAAACGATTCTCTTCAGACCTTTGTAGTCAAAGGCACTGCACATTAATGGGGGAGGAGGAAAAAGGAGGATTCAGAGCTTCAGGCCAAACAGTACATTATTTAAGACAAACACATCATCCCATTCTTGCTCTCTTACCAAATATAGTACAAAGAAAAGACAAGTGGAACAAAGTAAAGAACATCATGGAAGAAACCATGTAATACATTGTAATGACAGTTCTGGATAGAGCTCAAAGTAAAGCAGTTTCATAAAACCAGTTATGGAAAATCATAACAACAGAATTTTACTCCTTAAAATTTGTCTTGGAGGCCTTTACAAAAAGAAATTGAAACAGTTACGAACAAAAGAGCTGAAAACATTAAGGTTAACTCCAAAAGAAGATACGTTATAATTTAGGTCAGGCATAATCTCTGTATCATGAAAGATGGAGAGAACTATTGCCTGTGTACATGTAACAAAATGATGACTTTGTTAGCTTAAATGCAACTTAGAATGAAAGTAATGAACTTTTTTAAACACTGTGGTGCATTCCCAAACACACAGGTTAAAACCATTAGAGAGCTATACAGAGGCAGTTTTAATGCACACCGATGGAATTACTGACACACAAATATTTTAATAGGGTTTTGCACTCACCCTGCGCATTAAATAGCCTTCTTTCAACAGTTGTTTATGGTTCACAATAAAGAGATTGAGCTAAAGCTCTTACCCTGAGCATAAGCTGACTAAAAAAAATAATAATAATAATCATAAGGAGATTTAAGCTGTTAGGACTCAGATGGATTTAGCTTAGGCCTCTAAGCTACTGCAGACTTCTCACTGCCCCACACTGTTCGGCATGGGAGAGGACAGGGAGGGATGGACACAAAAACTAGCATTATTACGGTTATTTTCCCTGTTTACAATAATTGATTGTCTTATTGTCATGAGTTTTCCTCTGCTAGCCAATAGGTAAAAGAGTTGGCAAAACTTATTAAAGCTATTCAAAGATATCTGGCAACACATATTTTTTAGGTAAACTTCCACACAGGAAAATTCACAGAAAACTAGTTTTACATGTCTGTTTAGAAGTTGCCTTCCAACACCCCTCCAGAATGACATGAGTAGCAAAAGTACCACTTACAAGCTCTAAACAAGTTCTTTACTATTTTTTCCTGAAAAAGTACAAATACCTACTATCTACAAATACCTACTATCTAAAATTGCATCCTCTGTTATTCTCCTTCAACACAGTCATTTTTTAAAAATTCTTTTAGTCTGGGTTATTGACAGGAGAGAAAAACTTCCACAAGAAGATGATAACAAAATGAAGACTATTACTATTATGTTTAACCACATAAACACTATGTTAACTTCTTAGAAGCATTTTCAAAAACATCCAAAGTGTTGCTCTTTTCCTTTTTTCTTTTAATAAAAATTGCAGGAAAAAAAAATCAGGCAAGATGATGCGAAAATATGAAAAGAAAAAAAAAAAGTTGGGAAGCTGTAAGTTCAAGGTTACAAGACTTTGAACAGTACTAGATGCAGCACTTATTTCAGCAAACAAAAGTGAACAAAACTTTACAGACACAGGCTTCCAAAGACATCCTTTCCGTTAGATATTGTAAGTTAGTGATCATCAGCCAATGGAACAAGACAGATGTAAGCTAGTTCAAAACATCACAGGACATGCTACAGCAGAAGTTCGTATTTACTTCTCCTTCCTGGAATAAATATCTGCAGCAAGTGCAACATTCATCTTTACCTCTCTTTAAAGAAGTCAGTTTTCTAAAGGAGGAAGAGGAGGAGGAATGCAGCAGTTTTTCAGCCTGGGATGCATCTGTCAAGGCTTCAAAAATTGCCACCTTTTCTGAAAGAAGAAAACAAACTGATGATCACAAAGTAAGGGGTAATATGATAAAGTTATGCTAAATGATAAATAATATATTAATATGATATTATAATAATACAATTATAGTAACCATTAAATAATACGATAGTAATGAGATAAAAGTTATGCTAACTGTGCAAGTATATAAGGTTTTAACTTTATAAACTGAAGTTTATTGAATTACTAAAAGCATATCTAGGCCCTCATGTTACAAAACAGTTGGCTATAAAAATGCCTCAACATTTTTAGAAGGGAGAAAGAAGGGAGACACTGGCTTCATGAAGTCCCAAAGCAAGCTTTGTCATCGATTTGGAAAAATCTTATGTATTAGTTTTGAACACTATTACAAAAATACTAGAAAGGAACAGTGAAGCACTATTTCTTAACAAAGAACAGTGAGGAAAAAAATGCAAGATGAATGAAAACAGTAATATTATATAAAAGTGCAAGCTGAATCCATATCGTGACTTTAGAGATCAGGTACCAAGAGGCTCCTCTTATCTCTATGCTAATTAGATACAGGTTAGCAGGAGGTACCATTCTTTTCATTCTAAACTACAACTGAAAGGTTTTAAAACAAAATGGCATATGCAAAATGATGCTCCTTATGAATTCTATAAAATCAACTAATTTGCAAAAAGAGCAATTTCTTGGAAGAATCATTAGGACGCTTTTGAATGAATACAATTCATCTCCTTTGACTCATTTTTTTTTAAGTATACAGACGTGATGCAGATGCTGATACAGATGTGACATACATTTCTGTATTATTTTCATTCTAAACAAAAAGACTCAGCAGAAACAGATCTGCACAGAGAGCAGAAACATGCTGTACCTATTTAGAATTTTTCATTCACTCATCTGCTCATCCATGAACAAAATCTGCAGGTTTTCTGGAATTAAATTTAAGGAGAAGATATTACTAAATCATTACATAACCTCATGATGCAGGGAGGGGAGGATCTGAACCATTCTACACACTGAATGCAGTAACTGTCCTTAAGCCCTAGGCAAAAACTCCCTGTTCCCCCCAGCACGATTACTTCAGCTTGGAAGATCCTGCTAAAATTTGGAAGCCAGCAGCTGCTCTCCTCCAATATTACGTAAGCCACCAAAAGACTATCAGCCCCATATGAAGTTGGCTACAGATAAATCTTTCAGGAGGGAATTAAGATCATGCTTTTTTTATAAAAGACTCTTTACACAGCAATGATGAGCAGCACATATGAAGCAACAGCACAGCTCAATAGGATAGCATTCATGAAATGCACATTTTGCTTCACTGAGCACCAAATTGTATTGTGTATTTTAGGTAATAACATCTGCTCTTTGCCCTATAGCTCTAAAAGTTGACATAATGAGAACACTAAAGGAAATAACTTGCAAAAAAGTTATTGCAAAAATGCAGAAAATTCACAAGGCTATCAAGAATCACATGCATCAAGATGATCATTAGTTGTCTGATCTACAAAAGAGATCCGGAATGAGGAGAACACAAGTAAGGGAAATCAGTGCATATGAAGAACCAGCAATTCTCCCAAGTCAGGATTTAGTCTGGCATATCTGAAGAAACTGCACAGACTTCAAGAATGTCCTGGAGACATTCTTGCAAGAATGATTCAAAAATCTTTACAGCAAAGGTTAAAAAGGTTCCAATGTAAGGCAAAACCATCAAGTATCTTAATGACACAATATCTAGGCTACCTCAAAAATTCACTCCTAACCTTTGGAGCAGAAAGGTGTGTTGCAAAGCACAGCAAATGGTTGCACATGCTAATCTTTGCAAAGTCTGTAAATAATCTTTGGCTGGTACACACCCAGGGAAAACACTTTTAATTGCAGCATTACACTTGATACATGCTGCTTAAATACTCCTATGAAAGTCTATTCAGCCTAACATGAAGTCCACTTACAGCTGTTTGTTAAATAAGTAAACTTACATAAAATTAGAGACTTAACCTGAGCTGGTATCAAAACTTGAGCACAATTTAATGTAACAGTTAAGTGCATATAACAACTAGCTAACATGAGAAAGGTGATGTCCCCCTTCCTTTCCAGTATCCCACATATTTCTGTCCCCATGCATCAGATCTTCAAGCAAGGCCTATTTAGGGTCCTTGATCCTCTCCCGCATTTCTCCAGACTAGATAAATATTCCTATAAGATTTGTTTTCTGCTGGTTTCTGAACTGGTTTCCGACGAGTCTGACAAGAACGTAGGGTGCAAGAGAGGGAACGCACAACTACATTTATCACTTCCAGTGCAAGTCAGCTACAGAGCCAAAGCCATAGCTGCTGCCTTGGCAAAAACACCACCTTGAAAACAACCACTAAAACACATACCTTTGTCCTTTAAGAACAAAATGGAATACAAAAACCACTACATACTATTTATTACATGTAATAAACTGAGGTTTTAACAGCTTTAAAATTGCAGGACATGAAAACAGAATAATTTTTGTGTCTTCAGTTTGTGTGACATACTCTCCAAAAATGCAAAAGATTAGAGAGCAGGGCATCGCACCACAGCCATCTTATGCTCATGCATCCCTGAAGAGAACACCATTTGTGTGACTGACCTCAGACGAATAAGAACACTGAATGCTGGAAGATCTACATATTTTCATTCAACAAAAACTCCACATCTGCCTTGTATGGTTGCTTATATAAATACAGCTAGTTTTTCCTGTCATTTTCATAACACTTTTGACACGTTATACATTGAAGACTAGTAATATGAATGGTACCCCAGAAGGAAAAGCCTCTTATACAGCAGGAGGTTGCGGTGAGGCAGGGGTCAATCTCTTCTCCAGAATAAATACTGAGAGGACAATGGGAAATGGCCTCGAGTTGTGCCAGGGGGCATGAGGGAGGCGGTTCAGGTTAGACATTAGGAAGAATTTTGACTTTTCAGCTTGAAAAGAGCAGTCAAGCGTTGGAACAGGCTGCCCAGGGATGCGGTGGAGTCACCGTCTCTGGCAGTGTTCAAGAAACGCTCGGATGAGGTGCTTAGGGACATGGTTTAGCAGCCACGGTGTTGAAGGGTTTACGATTGGACTTGATGATCTGGAAGGTATTTCCCAACCATAATGATTCTATGATTCTAAGAAAGGTGCCTGGCTTGCATACCATTTATAGAAGAATATAAACACAACCTTTGTATTCATCCAATGCTTCATTTACATTCTTCACGTAGCACTTTTTCAGATGTTAATGCTTGTATTGCCCATATGATTTGGGAAGGACGTAGCTAAGGAGCTCTGCTGTCACAGAACTGAGCTAGCTCACACCTACTTGGGCTGGGATTACTCTACTAGTCCATTCATGTAGGCATAGCACAAAGCAACCCTTCCCTTCAAATTATCTGGACAGATCTTACAACTTGTAATACCAGGCAAGTTACCCAAGAGATGGGTTCACAGCACCGTAAACCCGCACTAACGGGATGTGTGAACACTTAATAAAAGCAGTGAGGGTCTTCGCTCGGGTGCCGGGGACTGCACCCACCCCAAGCCAGCCGGGGCCAGTGGGACTTTGCCACCAGCTGGAAGGCAGCAGGAGCGCCACAGGAAACGGGATTCTCTAGCTCACCCACGCTGGGATTTCCACGTGAGCATCAGTAACATCTCCTGCTCACTCCCCTGCTTTGCCACGCACTAAACCAACCTTTGCAACATGCAGCGGCCTTAAGGGTGCGT